TGTCATATCCTCGATTCCTTGACTGAGATAATTCTGAAAATTTGTAAAGACTTTCAAATAGGGCTTTCACAACTGTCCAAAAAATTAGGTGGATATTGGAGCTGATATAGTAACAAAAATGGGGCAAAATGGGGGAAAATACGCTGTTTTTAGCTGTAACATAATGTCTGATGGTTGGATATGCTTTAAATTTTTAGGACAGTTTCCTTGTAAATCTATCGGTAAGCTAACCAATTTTGTTAAAATTGGATCAAGGGAAGGTTACTCAATACTCATTTGTTCCAAGAATTTCGCGCGGCTCACTGTCGATGGCGCACTACCTAGTAATACGCCCTGCCAGATGTAAGGGTAATTCACCCTCAAGCCCAGTCCAACATTGACAAGAGCATCTCACAGATGTACCAATCTCACGAGAAAAACAAAAACGTGAGTATAATAACAGAGTCGTCAATGTAGAAAAGGCTACCTTCACGCCACTTGTGTTCAGTACTACAAGCTAGGAATGGCAACTGCAAGGCTTCACAGTTCCTAAAACATCTCGCTGAAAAGATCAGCCTTAAGAAAGGCCAACGGTATTGTGATGTGATATCATTTGTCAGACGCTGTATAATCTCTATCAGGGGTTACAGAGGTACCAAAACTCTTCCACCCACGGCGATAAGTAATTTGGACCTTGACCTGATCAACACTCCTAAACCTTAAGTATGAATAGGGTTATCTTTTGGGGATGCTTTTTGAATTTATTTGAAATTTTTTAATAAAGTTGTAGTTAATAATCTATTAATTTTGGTGGTAAGATATTTATATTTTTCCATACAGTGTTTTGATACTTTGTAGTCATGTGTGATGATGTTATAAAGCAATGAAAGGCATTTAGTAGAGGCTCTTACGGGCATTGTCTGCTCGATACGCTAGGGACCCCAGATACACCTCACTAGACGTATTTTTGACCGTAAAATCGATTAAAAGTGGTTTTAAGATGATTGGACTGACTTTTTGGGGGGTAAAATTGCAAAAAACCGATTTTTGGGCAAAAAATAGGCCATAAAACCATGTTTTTGATATTTTGAACAAGTTAATTTTGTTGGCATGTCGGCAAAACTTGCATGGAGATAGCTAAAACACGGCCGCACAAGATGATATAAAAATTTGAAAAATCCCTCTATTTTTTTGGAGGTAAAAATCCAAAAAAGGGGTAAAAATTTGACTTTTTTTGCTTGAAGTTTGTATAATTTTTTGCAGTTGTATTAAATCAACCCAAAAAATAGTCACATCGTGTTTGCCTAAATTTTTCCTTTCCGAGAAGTACCCACTTCATATACTTTATCGAAGTTTGAATATTGTCACTCCGCAAGCGTTTTTGCCAAATTTTCGACGCGCACTACGCGCAAAAGCATTTAGTTGTTATCAATTGGCACCCGCGCGTTCATCATAAATTTCAAACAGCTATAACTCAGCGAGATTACGTCCGTTCTAGCTCATATTTTCACACTAAATAGAAAATAATGTGATCTTATTGCTGACAAAATATGAATATAATTACTCTATTTGCCTTAGAGTAATAGACTGTCAAAGTTTAAAACGCACATTGGTATAGCACGTGACTAATAAGGCCAAATTTATACTTCTTAACATATTATCGATCCTTAGACATCATACTATTGTGTCCAATTAGCGGTTAGGTCTCTAAAATCGTAGCAGAAAACACGTCTTTTTGCCCGTAAGAGCCTCATACTAATTAGTTTGGTCAAATCAAACAGAACATATGCTATCAGACTTTCAACTGACTAAGGTTATTATGTCATAATTTTTACTTTACTTTACTTTACTTTACTTAAACAGGCCATGGAGTGCTTGTTAGGTGGGGTCTAGACTGCTCTTTGTTGTGATATGATGTGAACTTGTGGATTTTATTTTTATCTATTGAATTGGTTTATTCATTTTTCGAGGGTGTCTATCCTTATAGCTAGACAATTACCATTGCTGAAATTACCTGTATACTGTTCGAAACATTTTCTTTCATATGCCCTGCCAGTGCCCGAATATAGAGAGCAATACGTGAGCGTCAATAGTGCAATAAAAATATATATACCAAAAGTTGCGTCTGACCAACTGACCTAGCTGATTACAATATAATAACTTATACTGTAAAAATTATTTCATAATATTTGATTTTTAAGAAATCATTAGCTTTTTACGCAAGAAACTGTTAATTTTTCGTCTTCTATGCACAATTGTAATGCACAAGAGGTCCATATACAGCTCAACCTTATCGTGGTGCACGGTACCAAATTCATCAGGATCGGAAACAAAAAATTCTGTGCCAACTTATATACATGGCAATTATTACGTAGACCCCAGTCACATGAGGGCCAAATTGTAAAGAACCTGTTGATTCACGATGTTTATTAGTTTCCTTGTAAGAAGCAGTTCTTACTGTAAATCTCTAACACGATGCTGCCCACTTCATGTTAGCATGACTACCAGATAATTATTCGCTTACAGTAACCTGATACCAGGAGCTTATACTTCTAAGGTTTACTGGGCCGGAGAGTCTAGCGAGTCAAGGATTTTATATTTAAAGAAGCAATTTTGAGTTCAAAAGTAACTACTGCAGATTAAGCCCGCGCGACAGCAGCAGTTAGCAGCAGCAAGCATCAGTTAGCAGCAGTTTCTTTGCACTTTGGTCATCCTATCCTGTGCGGTGTGCAGTGGCTTAAAGTGACGAATTTAAAAATTTAATTCCTAGCCATAATATTTCCACAGCTATGCCACCGACTTATTTTTGTTAACAAAAATATTTAAATTAAATTAAAATCAGTCGCTCTCAGGCTAGGGGTTTTAAGTTCTTAAGACGTTCAAATTGAGCGCATTACATATGTGGGATCTAGCTAGATTTGTATTGATTCTGGGACAAAAACGCGCGACAAATATTCATGGAAATTATCAAGAATCTATTGTCATACCCGCTGCGCTGAGTGCGCTGCTCCCCCTGTATTGTAGAAACGATATAGGGGGTCACGAAGTGATACAAGGAATGTTAATGATAAAATTGCGGTGTAAATCCGTTTTTCGCATTTTTTAGTTTTGCGTTGGATGTGACCTGTTATTTATGTTGATTCTTCATTCGTTATTTAGCTTATTCTTATTCTGTTAAAGCTTTCGTTAATACACATTTTTAAGTCATGAACTTGATACTAACCAGCTTGATTCTTACGCGGTATCGTCATTGATATGGTATATTTTTTATGAGAAAAAGAACCAGTACATGAACCGAGTGCTACAATTGGACAAAGGGTCATTCGTCCCCCTTGTATTTACCACTACAGGAGGAATGGCACCTGAGGCCAAGCGTTTCATAAGGAGACTTATTGATAGCCACCAAGACAATGGAGGACTACATCCAGGTGATGTGTAACATCATGACATGCCTGAGCTTGGATATAATGAGGAGTGTACTAGTAGCAGTTAGAGGTGTATGTGGGAAGGCAAAGAAGGCTCAAGGCATGGACCGCCCCTATATCCAATGTCTCCTTCAACGATTGCTCAGGATTTAGGATTGTGCTCTGCCAATTGCATTACAATTAAAATTACCCTAGGCTACTGTTTTCCAAGTCTTGTCCTGTGAGTAAAGTATGTGTGAGAAAGTTTTAATAAAATTATTGTATATTTACTTTTGAATCTAAAAAATCTAATTTAAGAATGAAGTTTAAGGAAATTTTAATTAGCACTGTATAGTTTAAGATATTTATAGCTTATTATAACCATTGATACAAAGGCCATAATCTTTCGCCAGCTCTCCAATATCCACCTTGAAAGCTTGAAGCTGCATTTTATATCCTTGAACTACACAATATAAACCAAAGAATGTTTTAGTGTAGACTTTTTGTCACAACAAGACTGCAACCTATAATAACAACTATAAACAGAACCCCTAATGTCTGCTCACAATTTTTCTTCTAGTCCTAATCTGAGCCTTGTCTCTATAAACTTAACTGAACTAGCGTTTCGTTGTGTGCAAAAGCTTCCAGGCACGCGCATTCCTTGCCCCGTTAGTTACCTGTCCTTCCAAAACCAAACTAGCAGTCAAGGACAAAAAGTCATACACCAAATGGGCATTATATTTTATGAATTGTTGAACATCTTTTTATTCTGTAAAAATGTGCTAAAATTAAATTTCTTGTTTCATTGAAATTTCTTGTTTCATTGATTACTTGATTTAACTTATTGTATTCCAAGCAGAAGTTGAAACTTGTTTGTTGATATGGTATGTAAGGTTCGCGATGTGTAGTGGAATCATGTTGTTGTATCGATGATGTATTAGACTAGAGAACCTTAGAGGACCTAGAGATGGTTCCTAATATCTTAAATTTCTCTTTGATTTAGAGAAAATGCTTGTAAAATCTCTAAAATGGTGTGTTTCTAGATCAAAACGCGCAATTTTGCTTGTACTAGTTTTTCAAAATTGTCCCACATTCAAGCAACGAGGTGGTCGTTTTGCCACTGACATTCTGGCTTTTGTGCTGACATTCTGGCTTTTGTGCTGAAGGCGGAAGCTCCAACCACTTTGTCACCTAGCTTCTATGGTGGATTACTTAGGGTGCATACTTATACTTTTCAGTGAAGTGTAGGAGTCCCAATCCCAATTGACCATCATCTTTTTACCCATGTAATTTTTAACGTTAACCATATTGCCAACAAAGATGAATTAAAGAACACATAATATTAAGGAAAATATTTAAATTTGTTTCCTATTACAGTAAAACCCTGATATAGGGGCTAATTTACCTCTTACCCCAACTAACTGAGATCATTTTTAAACCCAAAAACGGTTCTACATGCATTTCATGCAAACTAACGATTTACTGAGTATTTTTCCATTCTACCAAACTCAACATTAAAACACCAAATACAATATCATTAATTGTATCATTCCAATGTCAATCGTTGAATCCTTTTTTAATTTAATTTTTCCCTATAATAATATAACTTATTACTATAAGGCACCATGAAGAAAGCAGCAATAGTTTGTCTTGCTTCAGTAGCTGGAACAGTGTCTGCTCTTAGCGTTCATGCAAAGTGCAAATCAAAAGCATGGGATTACAATTGGGACTTCCGCCAGCCATCATCTCTTGTTAAACCTAACTCACCAGATGAGGATCTTGAGAAAAGAAAATCAGCCACCAGACGGACCCTATATCTCATTAGACATGGTCAGTATGAACTAGATAAACAGCATGATAAAGAGAAAATTCTCACTGATCTGGGTCGTCAACAAGCTGAGTGCACTGGTAAGCATCTTGCTAAGTTGGGTGTAAAATATTCTGATTTAGTTATCAGCACTATGACCAGAGCAAATGAAACTGGTGAAATCATTCTGAAACAGCTCAATGAAACTGGTATGGAGGTTCTAAATGAAAACTTTGAAATTGAAAAAACAGACCTGCTACGTGAGGGGCATCCAATTGATTCTGTGCCCTCCAGTAGTAGATTCAAACCAGATTCATGGGAGTTTACAGATGGAGCACGTATTGAAGCTGCTTTTCGGAAATATTTCCACAGAGCACATTATTCACAGAAAGAAGATTCATATGAAATAGTGGTGTGCCATGCAAATGTGATCAGATACTTGGTTTGCCGGGCATCACAGAACCCTCCTGAGGGCTGGCTAAGGATGAGTTTAGCCAATGGAAGTATAACTGAAGTTGTTCTTGAGCCAAATGGAAAAGTTTCCATATCAGGAATTGGTGACAAGGGACACATGCCTATTAATAAGATTACTTTTACCTAAAGTTTGTACAATTTTATTGATCAGAAGAATTTCTTAAACCTGCTCCCCTAGAAATAAATAATCAAGTAAGATAAATGCTTTCAAAAACAATTGTTTCAGAAGTGGCCAATTTGATTTTTCTGTTCCACATAATATCTAAAGCTTTGCATAAAAATATAAATACTGCTATATATAATACTAGAAACCCGCTAGTCGAAAGCTTTGTTCGAGGAAATTTTAAAAATCAGTTATGTTTTAATTTCTCTTCATCATATAGCTCTGTTATACTGTAGACATAATGGAATTTATCTAACAATGGCGACAGCGTTGTTAGTATTCGGATTCCCAAAACGATACTTTTTACCGCATCAAAAAATACCAATCACAACCAAAGTTATGAATATAAGTCATAGCGTGAGCGTAAATGTGAGCTAGTTTTGAAATTATGACGTAGCATACAGCATAACAACGCGCGTAGTTAAGATGTTTTTGCTCGCGCACGTGCATTTTAACGTTGCTACGCAACAGCGCAGTAAACCTTTGCTAAAATAACGACATTATTCTAACAGTTATTTTACCTCACTTCCGACGTTAATTATAAAAAATCTAAAGCCTAAATCAAAATTCTAAGAATGCTATAGCCTATTCCTATCCTTTTTCTACAACCCTGCTAAAATGGCGAGGTTTCAACTCCATTTGCGAGCTGGGTTTGATTTCACCAGAGGGTCATTTTGAGGTCGATTTTCGGTGTTTTTTCTTCTATGTCCCCGTTGCCGGGGAAATTTCGTCAAGTTTAAATTATAGTATAGATGTAATATGAATATTATGAATAATTAATTTAGCTAACGGGGCTGTTTCCACATACTGCATAAAATATTCGAGAAATTTCTGAATCAATGTCCTGTTAAGTGGCTTATCAATCTTTGTTTAAAATTGCACTGTGTGAACTGTGAATGTTGTTATCATATTTATTTGTATCTTGTGAACTTGGCATACATATTATCTTACATAAGATTGTTGTTATTTTCTTTTGAGAGTTTGCTTTATCGTTTGTTTGTATGGGAGAATGGTGTACAATTCGTTTTCAGCTCATAATTTATTAGATTTTGAATCTTACTATACAAATTTCTGTTGTTTCATTTTTTTACTATAATATTCAATTATACTCACAGTTGAAACATGTAAATAATCATCACTATTATCAACATTTAGCCATCTGGCAATGAATCTGTCATAGTTTATGTCACACTTACCACTTAGTTAATGTCACACTAACCACTTACATAGCAAGCAATGGGAGATAGCGGTGATGACGAGTTCGACAGGCACAGCAGGAGCAGAGACAAGTTCAAGAGGGAGCGAGAGGAGAGGGATGACCACGAGAGACCGCGACGGGAGGAGCACGTGGATCACAGGAGGAGAGAGTACGACCGCCGGCCTGGTGGCGGAGGAGGAAGGGACTATAACGACAGATATAATAGAGATAGATCTCCTGCTTACAAGCGATCTAAACGAGAGTAAGTTTCATTTTGTGCTTTATCCCGTTCTGATAAACTCTAACGTTTAGTTTGTGTATTTTTGGGATTTTCAAATATAGTACTTGAGAACGATATCACCTTTGTTGGACACCTGAGCTACTACCTCCTAGTTTCTAAAACTAAAAGCTACTCTCTCCACCAGTGGATCACCCGGTGGTCCACCACCAGGTGGAATGCATCCCTTCTACCCACCTGCCTTCCCTCCCTACGGGATGCCTCAAGCTGCTGCCCCGTGGCCAATGCCTGATATGGGAGGCCACCAGAATAATCACAACAACGACAAACACAGGTTAGTCATGGTCGTCAATGTAAAGCTTTCCGTATGCAAATTATTTGAGAAGTATACACCTACTCATATTTTGATATGAATCTATAATTTATTTTGCTAACTATTCAACATAAGCCGGAATCCTAATAATTAATTATTCCATATTTATGGTAAATGGTGGTTTCGTGCCATAATTACTTGATAATCCCTATCATGATCATTCATCTCATTTCAGTAACGAAGACAACTTTATGAAACGATTCAAACAGTTTGTTATGTCACTCAAGGACGACTGCAATGAGCACGAAGCGGTTGACAGTTACCGGAGATACAAAACCAAATACAAGAAAAACAGCATAACAAAGTTTTACAAGGCTCACCAAAACGAGGAATGGTATGTTAAACGTAATTTAGGGTTAATAAAAGCTCTTTTATAGCTCTAGTTTAATTATTTAATTAAGTGGATCGGGCCCATGACCATGGACGCCTTGAGGCGACTAATCGAAATATAATATTCGTCGATATTAATAGTCGATATTTGGGCTGACCCCACGTATCTGTAACCAGTTAGACTAATTCCATTGTGATTATAATCATATAATTATAGAATAATTTCTCAACTTTAGGTTTAGAGAGAAGTTCCACCCAGACTACCTTATCCGGAAAAAGAAGGAACTAAAGCAGTGCAAAATAAAGCGGTTAGAAATCTACAAACGTATCCAGGAGCTAGGGTATTTGGATGATTTGGGTGTGTGTCATGAGGACCAGGACAAGCTGATGAAGGCTCTGGATGCAGCAGTGATCCTGATGGAGGGAGGCACCGTGCACGATCTTACAATCCTAGACGGAAGAGATAGGAACTCTGATAAACCACTCGTTGCTATTCCCGTGGCTAAGTTGAAGAAGGAGAAGGCTCCCTCGGCTAAAGAGGGTGATGATTCTGATTCTGAGGAAGGCAACATCAAAGATGATCCAGGTAACGAACTAGTAACTTCTCAGACAAAATATCGTTCAACATTATTTGAATCTAAATGAGTCATGATCTTCATAAATTTCTATTTGACATCAGCGAATAATTCTAAACAATGTTCACCAATACAATCTTCACAGAATCACCTGGATCCGATGAACTGGAGAACAAACTGCCACAACCGCTCCACAAGCCACAGTCCTTGTTCGTGAGATCCCTAACTCCGCTGATCACACGGGAGGACCTTCTCCATGTTGTGAAATCTCTGAACCTGCCTGGCTTTCTCAGGCTGGCCATGGCTGAGCCACTTCCCGACCGCAAGTATGTTTTATCTCTTTGTCTGAGTTTTGAAATCCATTGCAATTTTATGTTCTTTCGAAATTGCTGAGGATGGAAATGGTTCTCAATATTCTCTAACCCAATTTCATAGTGAAATCCAGCGAAGGAAAAGTGAGATCTAAGTCAAGACTTTTTATGTCGTTGCTTGCATTTGAGTTGTTCGGTTTCGTTGCAAAACGTTGTTCACTTACCGTTGTTTATATTTGTTTAAAAACCTGCCCTCAGTCGTCAAGGACTACTTTACCATGTAAGTGGTGAACTGTTATATAAATAGATAACTAATAAATTAAATTAAAAATTATATTAAGAAATTAGATTAATATTCTTATCGTGATACCATCCTAGATATTTCTGTTTGATTTTTGTGAGCTTTCATCATTACAAAATATTCTAAAAGTCAGCTAATTTTAGCCCTCCTGCTGCATTAATAACTACCCCAAAAGTCAAAGCTAACTGTAAACTCAGACCCCAGCGTATCTTTTCATCAGCTCGCTAATTCATGAGTCATGAGGTTCATATTGTAATCCCTGACTATTTTAGAGATTGGTAACGTTTCCTTTTCTTGTTAAACGATCACCACAAATGGTCATTGTTAAATCAATACAGCGCAGTAATACGCGGCATCGACATGAACTACCGCTCAGAACCCACTAACCAGTAATTTTCTCAGTATATTAAGTCTAATTTACAATAATTACAGTTCTACGTTTTCTAAGCTCTGTTGTGCTGCACAATTATTGTAATGATAGTCACACTAACTCACACCCATTAACCAGGTACTACCGGCGCGCGTGGGTAACATTCGCGCACAACACCGACATCAAGGAGGCGTGCAGTGTGCTGATGAGTAGTAAAGTGGAGAAGTACGATCATGAGCTGAACGTGGTGATCAACAGGGAGCTTAGTAAACGAGTCAGATTCGTCCCTTCCTTCACTAGGTGCACATTCTTTACATTCTTTACATTCTTTAACACTTATTGAAATCATTGTGTTCACATTTCAGTTGTTTCTCTATTTCTCATTTTTAGCGATGATCCTTGACAATTTCTACATTACATCAAGAAAGCCCAAGTAAATTTCTGATTCCTTTATCAGATGCCTAGGTAAAATTATTAACAGTTTGTAACTACCTACGCGACGTAGATCAGATATAAAATAACTAATTAATTTAAACTACGCAGGTCACTATACGCCATACAGCAGGACGTGAAATGGCTGGATATCCTGATAACAGAACTAGATAAAGCTGCTGGGTTGTGGGTAACAAAACTCAAAGATGAGGACGAGGAGGAGGGAGAAGATGACAGTGAAGGTAGGGAGGCGTTACAAATTACAATTCTTACATTTCTTACCACTCGCCACATTTTAGGTTTCCTCTCCAAACGTTGCCATTTGTAATTAAAGGCGATTCAGACGCTTACCATAACATTATATTGAAAAGTAGTTTAACTAAGGGACCCACCTGAAGTTTCAATAACTTACTTCAGATCTGCTATAAATAAGAAGTTCAATAATTAACTACATAGTTTTAAGTAATACTATCCTACAGACCGGCCTAAACAGCGATTAAACGAGATATATGAGAACCCCATGATAGAAGAGTTGAGAAGGTTCACAGAGGACTGTCTCAAGACACCCACCTTGGATCACGAACTGGACCAGGGCGAAACTGACGAGGACGAGATTCACATTATCAACGATAAGAAACTTAAGGTACTGTGATCTGTGACGCAATGTTTATATCGCTAACAAGATTTCTCATCCAAAGACTACAACTTTTTATTTTCCATACTGTAGCTTTTCGGTATGAATATCAAAATGTTGTCCCTAATTTCTGCTAATTGTTGGTTCCATAATTGTATAATTGATGCAGGTGTTGGACAAGCTTGTAGTGTATCTGAGAGTTGTGCACATGGTTGACTACTACAACGGTACTGAGTTCCCTAACGAGGACGAGATGCCCAACAAGATCGGAGTGTTCCACATCAGGGGTCCTCTGGAGACCACCAGCTCTAAAAACTCTCTTCAAGATGGTATGTGTGGTATGTGTGGTATGTGGCAGTCAAATGTACACATTTATTGGGGGAGAGGGGATGTTATATTTATTATTGGAACTGATAAGTAAATTCTTTCCTTTGCTGTAATGTTTGTGGCCTAAAGGGGCAGTGAAATTGCTGGGCAATTATGAACTTCAGTTTGAGATTAACAGGTGCAAATATGAATTTTTAACGAAAATACGTATAAATCCAATTTTCACAAATGCTGTTCAGCAAATGAGATAGTAATTTGTTGAAACTTTACAGTACATGATTGGAACAAGCAACTAGGGAGCAAGATGCAGGGTGTAATTGACGACATGAGAGGAGTTACTATACAACATGATGAAGCTGTCTTGATCGGACTCAAGACTGAAGAGGAGGTGAATACCACACTGCTCTGTTTTAATGCTTCACATACCTTCTCCCGGGATTACAGTAGTGTTTACATTCACATACTATCGAAACAAAGGAAACAGTAATACAAATAATAATAATGAGATATTCCCAGTTCACAACAGATTATAACCTCTTTTTCCTCAGACAGTTGAAGAGTTTGTGAAGATGAACACAGAAGAACAGGGACCCGGAAAGTTCCACTGTCCACTTTCTGGCAAGAAGTTTAAAGGTCCAGAGTTCGTCCGGAAACACATCTTCAACAAACACGCGGAGAAGGTGGACAACGTGAAGAAAGATGTGAGTTTTGTTTTACTTTTAGTGCGAATACTTATTACACATTACTTTTAATTTCTGGCATTCCGATGGGCTGTGATGCTTTCTGTGGAAGTAATGGTTATTGACACTTAACTGTATTTGATCACAACATTACAAACCGCTTTGACGAATGGTCCAATTTCCCTGTAGGCTATCTTTTGGAACAACTACGTCCAAGAGCCAAAGCGACCGATGGAGCCCCTGTTTCCACCTGCTCAACAGTCCAATAATGGACCATCTTACAACAGCTCCACTCCAAACGCTAACTACACTGCGCCTCCTCGACCTAGCTACCCTGGATTCCCTCCTCCCTACGGATTCCCTGCTCCTTTCCCTCAGGCGTAAGTTGATATAAAGGAGAGAAGGGCCATTCCGGACTTTTCGCAACCAATGTAAATGAGCGAGTGAGATCTTAATAATATTCAAATCAATACCTTAGAACTTGCCAGTTGCCACTAGCTTAACATACCTGCAGTACCATATAGCCTATAGGATTGTTGATCTAAGCTGGATAATTATCTGACCAGTTCCTGAAATGAACTATGTTAAACCGTGACTTAATTATCTAAACGCTTGACAATTATTGGATTCCTAGGCATGACCTTTTTTTATATTTGTTCCGCTAAATGGACAGCTTTTGCCCGCGAAATAAAGATTCTATTGAATAAAGATTCTACTGGATATATACGCGAGGCGCCCAGAAAATACTCTTATACAAAACACGTTTCAAATAAGTTCGTACGTGATCTTGAGCCGCGCGCGCGGCGCACAACTTCAGTTGATGATAATAAGTATGCGGACTTGCTAATTTTTCAGAATTCCTACTTTTATTGGACGATGTAAAATTTGAAAGCATCATTATTGCATGTCTTGGATCTATTTTGTGCTACTATTGTCTTTGTCCGACTATCAGAGCTTCAATTTTGCAGTTTTGAACGTTAATTTGAACAAATATTCCCTTTCAGGCCGGCGCCCAAAGGACGAAAGGTTATTAGCTACAACGACCTGGATGCTCCCGATGAATATGACGTTCTTGGAGTATAGAATAAGACAAAGAATCAGGAAAGGAGAGCTGATGAAGATTGACGAAGACTACCAGCCGACTTTTATTTTATCTGAACATGCGCCAATTGACCGTGGACAGAATATTTTCGCAATAATAGAAAAGCAAATTGCATCTGCATAATCATAATAATACATTTATTTAATTTAAATTGTTAAATAAAAATTATATCTAAATTGATTCCGATTCATTGAATTTTGTGTCTTACTTTCGTCTCAAATCCCGATGTGATAAATTTGTTCTACCCTTTCGCATTGAGTTCCCAGTTTAAATCAAACACATGGTGAGACGACTTCGTTTTTTTCTCTGACACATTAGCAGCACCCAGGATGACGGACGGGAGCTGTATTCTGCTGATCCAGCCTCTCCACCGACCTGCCTCCAGAACATACACTCAGTTTAACAGTCTGACTGAGTGTCTGCAGACTGTTATCAAACTTCACGAGGAGCATCTCAAGAATGTCTTTAAAAATGTATGATATTCTGCGGTGAATTTATTTGAGGAAACACAAGCTGTTTTATTGATAATTTTCTGTTCTTTTCGTTCTAGCTAGAGTTTTTTTTTTGAGCCACCTAAGAAGAGACTGCGGCCTTAAACAGTAAATTTTTATGGAATGTCTGAACTAATTAAACCCTATTTCAGGAGGAAAGCATATCCTACAACATATCACAACTTATGGACTTTATTCAGGACATATCAGATATTCTAGTCCTTATTTTCAACAAGGAACTGGGACACTACGAGCCTCACGGGAGACGGTTTGTAAAGTCAAAGATCTACGGTTATTTGGCATACACAGCCACCAACAAAAACGGCAAGAACTACTACTTCTGAAATATCATCCTTGGTTGTGTTTTGTCTGTGATGGGATAGCATATGGTTTTTCAACCCTTTAAAATGGCTTCGTACACATGATAACCTCACTCCTGGACGATGAGAGCTACATTTGATAAGGTTCTCAATATTAGACCCTGCTCTTCTGTTGTTGTGAGAGGGCACGGCGGAGTTGAAAGGCGAACATGTTGTTGATTGTTTTTAAATGTCTTTTAAATTAAATCAATCGTTTTTAAATCAGATATGCTCATTACGCTGGCATTATAATGTTTTCATTAAAATTTGTATACTTCGCAATTTCAATTAATATATATGCATGTTATATTTTCATTTTATTTTACAGAATTGTTTCCTAATAAAAACTCCTTGCATTTTTAAATTTTAATATTTATGATAGTTTTATACCAATTTAAATATTACTTTTATTACACATTTTTAAAGTTTTTAAATTTTTAAAGCTTTTGTCTTTTAAATGTCAATTTTGAATTGTTGGAGTATCTCCTTATCTGTAATACCACCTTTCCTTGTGGGTGCAGGGTGTGTCATTTTTGACGAATTGAAAAATCTATCCACGGTAGCCAGAGGTTAAATATGATGTGTAATTGCTAGATTGGAAATAAAAAAACAAAGTTTGTGAACAAACATATTCAATATTCATATTTGTAAACAATACATTGTCCTTGAAACTAATCCCTCTCTCTGGTGAGCTAGATTATCTAAAATCGTATGTCTAAATTTATTTCTGGATCGCTGAAAATTGAATAAATATGCGACATTAATCTATCGTCTAAAGAGGCCTGAATTTAGCGAATACTTTCGTTGGAATAAATATCTTCTGTGAAAACGAAAGGTAATTTCGCGGTTTTAAATTAGTTAGTCATGTAATTGCTAATTATTTATTTTTGAATTTGCTATAATAAATTACTTAATATATTCTATTTCAACAATATTTTATCCTATAGTATGTGCCGTGTTTTACTGCTCAAATTGTACCGCTGATTGTGATATTAGAAATAGCGCCCTGAGACAGCGAAATGAAGCACCCTTCAATTGGCCGATATGAATTCAGTTTCAACTGCCAACATACATCTTGTACCTTTCATATTTGCACGTTGCCGCCAGTAATAAGCCCCACGTATTGTTCCTGACTCACGACTATATAAATATTGGTAATTAATGTACAATTCGTTCAAATTTTAAATTAATCACAAAAGTGATGTATAAATAAATAGCTGTTACGAGTGGGAATTTGAGAACATTCAGAGCAGATAGGGGTCGTTAACATATTACGTAATCAGCTGAGGGGGGGGGCGGGGTTTCCGACTGATTACGCTAGTGTAATTTTGACACAAATGCTATGTGTAAAACTGATTACGGAGGGGGGGGGGGGGGGTAAAAATGTTCAAAAAAATGATTACGTAATATGTGGACGACCCCATATTGCATAAAAGTTTTAATTTGGGCAAAAAATAAGCTCCAAAACCTCTTTAACTTAAAGCCGTTGCTCCTGCGGCCGCTGCATTGTATTCACTGCCTAGTAATACTGTATCATAAGTTTAATAAGTACAACTACATGTACATGTAGTAATGGTTTATCGTCCTGTAAATAAAGTGCTGAATCTAATTTAACAGTTCTTCATCTTCGATGGCCTCCGCTTCTATTGGGGCATCCTCGTTGTTGAGGACTCTACTTGCCCGCTCAGGTAACAAACCTTTGAAACTCTCGTACACGCCCATCATGGCGTTAACGTGTGGCTTGTAGTCATCTGAAACAAATTCGTGAGATGTTGTATGGTATTGTATTTTCTATAGAAATACAATGCCATTAAATTGTAAACAATAGTATAAATACTTCTTTAAAATTCAGCAATAATACTTTGTAAATGCCTTATTTCTGCAACTTTAAACACATTTTAGGACGTGAACTAAATGACAACACAGTCCCCCGACTCACGACTGCACCTCTAACCTCTAACTGCACCTCTAACTGCACCTCTAACTGCACCTCTAACTGCACCTCTAACTGCACCTCTAACTGCACCTCTAGCTGCACCTCTAACTGCACCTCTAACTGCACCTCTAACTGCACCTCTAACTGCACCTCTAACTGCACCTCTAACTGCACCTCTAACTGCACCTCTAACTGCACCTCTAACTGCACCTCTAACTGCACCTCTAACTGCACCTCTAACTGCACCTCTAACTGCACCTCTAACTGCACCTCTAACTGCACCTCTAACTGCACCTCTAACTGCACCTCTAACTGCACCTCTAACTGCACCTCTAACTGCACCTCTAGCTGCACCTCTAGCTGCACCTCTAACTGCACCTCTAACTGCACCTCTAACTGCACCTCTAACTGCACCTCTAACTGCACCTCTAACTGCACCTCTAACTGCACCTCTAACTGCACCTCTAACTGCACCTCTAACTGCACCTCTAACTGCACCTCTAGCTGCACCTCTAACTGCACCTCTAGCTGCACCTCTAGCTGCACCTCTAACTGCACCTCTAACTGCACCTCTAACTGCACCTCTAACTGCACCTCTAACTGCACCTCTAACTGCACCTCTAGCTGCACCTCTAGCTGCACCTCTAACTGCACCTCTAACTGCACCTCTAACTGCACCTCTAACTGCACCTCTAACTGCACCTCTAACTGCACCTCTAACTGCACCTCTAACTGCACCTCTAACTGCACCTCTAACTGCACCTCTAACTGCACCTCTACCCCTACTAACCCTTGTCAGCGTACTGGAAGAATATGAGCGCCCCCGCTATGAGGAGCAACTCCCCACACAGCTCCCCCAGTGCCGTGACATCGTACTCGTTTATAACGCACCCTCCTAGTCCGCCAGACATATTGCTACTGAGGGTAAAGTGGTGAGTGTTCTTATTGTGACCAACACGTGATCAGGGGTCGTTCACATATTACGTAATCAGCCGAGGGGGGGGGTTCCAAATGATTACGCTAGTGTTATCTTTTTACACAATAGCTATGTTTAAAACTGATTACGGAGGGGGGAAGGTAAAAATTGTCAAAAAATATAATATGTGAACGACCCCTAATTGTTAACACGTGACCATTGTTATTATTTAAGTTTAAGTAATTCTGTGAAGGAAGCATAGATGCACATCCTCGGTTATAACATTGTATTTCGTCGAGGTTATTGTAGTATTAGTAATAATAACTTTCAATTTATAAATTAAAAATCAAATAAGGAGTTAAATAGACATTACTATTAGATATCGCTTAACCTCGCGTGTTCGTCACATTTATTTTTATTACATCGACTGTAAAGGAAAGAATCGTTATTATGTATGTTTTAATATTTAATGGCAATACGAACCTGAACCATGTCCCTGTTTATAATCATAATATATCTGACAAAAGAGCATGATGAAAACGCTCGAAACTATGTTTACGGAACCTGAAACCAAGACAACTAACGAAAGCAACTGAATATGAGCAACAATCTAGTTTATATAAAGCTGCAATAAAGTTCGCTGAAAAGAGCAACTAAAGATGAGCAATAATGAGCATATAATTGGGTTAATGTCCGATATATTGGTGCTGTCAGCTGAGTAGCATTACTGTTACACAGCAACGGTTCTGTAACTGAGAGTGAGATTGCAACATGTTATTCCTACTGGTAATTCATGTTGATACTGATAGTCTAGATGATTATTTGAAACAAGTCAATCTCTCTGATCTGAAAAAGTTTAACAAATAATAAAGCGACAAAAGTGCAAACTCTCTAAAGTCTCAAACTATTGGAGCAATAGGAGATTGAAGGCTCAGCAGTGGTAGCTTGTAGTGGAGCTCGGAGTATCAGGTCGATTAATGGAACACGCACCTGTGCATTTATACCATATGGAGTGGTAGAGGGTCGGGTCCTGGGCAGGAGAAGGGTGGGGTTAAGTGTCTCCTTAATCCCCCTTAGTTTCTGGAACTACAAATATGTGATCTACCAGTCATGTCAGTTGGTTGGAATTTAATGAACTCTAGTTGGAGCTGATTATATTATGACAGCAGGTGCTGTATGAGAATGACAGATGACTGATCAAGTGAGAGCGACTCGGGGGGTACTCATTATTATGTAACGGTACTTCAGTTACATTTCATTGCAGAGTTAATATTATGTCAAGGAGCATGCCATCAATATTCAATATACTGTAATATTTGTAAGTATATTAAGATTACAAATCTACAACTATTAAACAATTCTCCTATTTTCTTAAAACAATTACAACAAATAGCATTGTATTATAGGGTTACCCTGATAGAATCCCTCCATGTCCAATGTCAGATATATAATAAGTAAATCACGGAATAGTCCCTGTGTGGTCGACTAGCAAAAACAGAGGCTCAACCAAGAGAGAGAGAGAGAGAGAGAGAGAGAGAGAGAGGGGAGAGAGGGAGAGAGACTCCATTATTATATAGTATATAATACGTGTAATCAGTAGATTGCTGTATAGTGTATAACTATATTGCTATTGTTTGAGCATCACACCTTCCCCTGTTGCAGGGAATATTGTAATTTACCAGCCGACCCCGTAAACCCTGGAGGATCCTGGGTAATAGTAACGTGATCGGTTTAACGTATAATCAGAATATAAGCAATGTATTATAGACTACAGCGGTAACTAGCGTGTGGTGGATACTTGTATTGTGGTAGGACATGTTTCGTAACTACCTCATAAACTACCGATAAGTAGTATATTAAGAAGAAAACTCTCTTGCGTCATGAAGCAAAAGTATATGCTTCAGGTCGTATAGGCCTTTATCGAAACATATGTAAATCGTTAAATTCAAATGTGAAAGCTATCAAACAGATAGATGTAAAGATTGAACAGAATTCGTACGTGCAATCTAACATAAAAGTCATACGAGCCGTGAATAATATCCACAATAGCAAATAGCCTTAGCACCTTATATAGGGAAGAAATAGTTGAGAAAGGAGATTGTACCGATAACGTTACAATGGACCTTATTTTAGTTGGACCATAAGTAACTGAAACTAACAGGACTGTAACCTGCAACCTGAAACTGACAGGACTGTAACCTGCAACCTGAAACTAACAGGACTGTAACCTGCAACCTGAAACTAAAAGGACTGTTACCTGCAACCTGAAACTAAAAGGACTGTAACCTGCAACCTGAAACTGACAGGACTGTAACCTGCAACCTGAAACTAACAGGACTGTAACCTGCAACCTGAAACTAACAGGACTGTAACCTGCAACCTAAAACTAACAGGACTGTAACCTGCAACCTGAAACTAACAGGACTGTAACCTGCAACCTGAAACTGACAGGACTGTAACCTGCAACCTGAAACTAACAGGACTGTAACCTGCAACCTGAAACTAACAGGACTGTAACCTGCAACCTGAAACTGACAGGACTGTAACCTGCAACCTGAAACTAACAGGACTGTAACCTGCAACCTGAAACTAACAGGACTGTAACCTGCAACCTGAAACTAACAGGACTGTAACCTGCAACCTGAAACTAACAGGACTGTAACCTGCAACCTGAAACTAACAGGACTGTAACCTGCAACCTGAAACTAACAGGACTGTAACCTGCAACCTGAAACTAACAGGACTGTAACCTGCAACCTGAAACTAACAGGACTGTAACCTGCAACCTGAAACTAACAGGACTGTAACCTGTAACCTGAAACTGACAGGACTGTAACCTGCAACCTGAAACTGACAGGACTGTAACCTGAAACCTGAAACTGACAGGACTGTAACCTGCAACCTGAAACTGACAGGACTGTAACCTGCAACCTGAAACTAACAGGACTGTAACCTGCAACCTGAAACTGACAGGACTGTAACCTGCAACCTGAAACTGACAGGACTGTAACCTGCAACCTGAAACTAACAGGACTGTAACCTGCAACCTGAAACTAACAGGACTGTAACCTGCAACCTGAAACTAACAGGACTGTAACCTGCAACCTGAAACTAACAGGACTGTAACCTGCAACCTGAAACTAACAGGACTGTAACCTGCAACC